GCTTGTGTTTGATGAGAGTGCAGTAAGTTGCATCCAAAGGTTGCGGCAATGCCTACACTCCCCAACCAAAAAAACGATGGCTGGTGAACGTTGTGGCCTTGCGCGAACATGGATTCAGAAGACATACTAGACCCATAGGGTTATCCCATACCCGCGCCCTGGATGGGCTACACCATTTGGGGAAAAAGAATTACAGTACATCCATAGATCCAGGCAATGCCTGCATTCTGGATGAGCGTCCCACTCACATGTAAAAGTCTGTTTTAACAGCTACACTCCGTGGTTGTATTCGACGAGACTACAGTAAACTGCAAGTCAGTGTCCGGCGGCGTCCCGGGGCATGCGTGGGTGTCCGGGGGCGTCCGGCTGGGGATGTCCGGGTCGGCTGGGAATGTCCGGGGGCATCTGGGGTGTTCGGGGGTTTGGGGGTGTCGGGGAAAAGCCTTGAACCCTAAATTCTGAAACCTATAAAGGCCCCGAGCCCTAAATCCTAAACCCTAGAGGCCCCGAACTCTAAATCCTAAACCCCAAAGGTCCTGAAGCTTGAATCCTAATTTCTAGAGGCCTGGAGCCTTAAATAATCCTAAACCCTAAGGGCCCCCTACCCTTAACCCTAAAGGCCCGGAACCCTAAATTACAGCAACTTCAGATTGAATGTCGCCTCCATTTCTGTAGACCCAAAAGGGCCAGATGTATCCAGGCTAAATGGCCGTTTCTGGACCCTCCTCCGTGCTCAAGCATAAGCCCTGGAGGCCCTGAACCCTAAAGCTCTAAAGGCCCTGAACCCTAAATCCCAGCTCTCCAGGCCTTGAACCCTACATCCCTAAAGACCTTGAATCCTGAATCCTAAACCCTAAGGGCCCTGGATCCTAAATCCTAATTCCTAGAAGCCCTGAACCCTAAACCCTAAACTATAAAGGCCCCGAGCCCTAAACAATAAAAGCCCGGAGCCTTAAATCCTAAATCCTAACGCCCTGGACTTTAAATCCTAAACCCTAAAGGCCCTGAACCCTAAATTACAGCAACTTCAACTTGAATCTCTGTTCCATTTCTGTAAACCAAACTGGCCAATCCAAAGCCGTTTCTGGACCCTCCTGCGTTCTCAAGCCTAACTCTAGAGGCCCTGGACCCTAAATCCAGGCCCTAAAGGCACTGAACCTTAAATCCTAGACCCTAAAGACCTTGAAACCTATCCTAAACCCTAAAGGTCCCGAACTCGAAATCCTAAACCCTAAAGGGCCTGGGCCCTTAATCCCACACCCAAGGCCCCGAAGCTTGAATCCTAAACCCTGAAGGCACTGAACCCTAAACTCTAAAGGCCCCAAACCTTAAATCCTAGATCCTAAAGGCCCCGAACCCTAAACCCTAAACCCTAAAAACCCTGAACCTTAAATCCCAAACCCTAAAGGCCCTGAACCCTAAACCCTAAATTCTAAAACCAGGACGCATAGCTCCAACTGCTAAAAACTTCGGGTTTTAGGTGATTCTCTTGGGGCCAGGTTCAGGGTTGAGGGTTTTTAGCCTCGAAGTTAGGGTTTAGGGCTTTACGGGTTAGGGCTTGAGGGTTTGGGCTTAGGGTTTAGGATTTAGGGCTGAAGGTGTAGGGTTTAGGGCTTAAACTTTAAGGGTCTAGGGGTTAGGGCTTAGGTCTTAAGGTTTCGGGCTTCATTGGGGATACATGGTGGATACTTAGGCCTTATGTCGAGGGTATGAGGAGGGTCTAGGTACATGGCCCTCCGAAGTTGGGCGTTGTAAGGATGGTAGTCTTTGGCGCAAGGCTTTGGACCAACGATTTGGCGAAACCGCCCAATTCAATTTCATATGCACTTGCGGTAGGTCCGGAGGGCAAGCGGAACCGCGCAGCGACTTTCAAAAAGTTGCCGGGCATGGTGCAGACTAGTTGAGGTGTTCCCACAGCTTGAGGTCTCTAGTCAGAGGGCTCTACTAAAGCTAAGCCAACCGGTCACCACTAAGCCCTTAGCGCTCCACATTCAGAACTTCCCAAAGTATGCCAAAGTCATATGTGATAGTCAAGGGTTCCTCGTATTGGCCGGTTGGGGAGCCACTATCCCCAACACATCCGAAAGGCGCGTTTGTGAATCTTCAATTGCCAAATCCATGGGTCCTCAACTCTGGGAGAAGCCTTAAACCCTAAACCCGGAACGAAGCACTTCCCTCAAAAGTCTCGAATTTCGTGTGTACAGTTCGGCTTTAGGGTTTCGAGGTGTAGGGGTTGTTTTAGGTAGGTTGCGAGATGATATACTTGGAGGTTTAAGCCCAGTCCTAGCTGTATGAGCTGTACTTTAAACTCCTTCAAGCGGTTGTATACCCGGGATTATATAGTGGAGTATTATCAGGTCATTAAGGGGGATGCTAGGAGTTTAGGTTACAGTTTTTATAACTAGTCATAAACTAAGGTACTTCGAGGGCCCATAATTGGGTTATAATACGTTATCTCTGCATGAACCCCCCCTTGATTGATGTATCTGCGTTTGGGAGGGGCCTGGGCAAATAAGTTGGCTTGAAACCTCCTTAGAATCATCAAAAGTCAAGTTAAGAGCAACAAGTTTCCTGGGGTTCCATAATTGTGTGTCTAGCCATCATTGTGTTCCGACGGAAGGATTTTTGGAATCGTAGTTCCTGATGTGGAGTTGACATTAGCTACACCTGCACGTGGGTTAGAAATACCTTGAAACTTCAGGCAAATATATGACCTTTGCGAGTATGGCCTATAGGGTTCAAGCCATTTCATGCTTGTGTTGCTTTGGACGCTAGGCGCAAGGGACCCCTGAAGAGACTTGCATGTTTGCATGCTGTTTCCATGGCCGTTTGCGAAAGGAAGGGGGCAAGCATGGGGTGTGATCATGGTTGAGTTAGCGTCTTCCCGAAAGCACTGGAGCCAGTTTGAAGCTGAAATCTACATTACAGCAGCTGAAGCAGTTTTAAAAAGTTCCGAACTGCATTGACCTAGAGCTTGAGTGTCCGTTTTAGTGTTTAGGGTGTATGGTGTAAGGCTTAACAATCTCCAATGTATCAAGACTGCTAAGCTGTAGGTAATAAATGGAGCCGGTTGTAGCTAAGTAGAAGGGTCCTAAGTACCCTAACATGCTTATGCTTGGAAATAGCTCCATTTACGACTGGGTTAGAATTTTTCTATACCTTCAAGTCTGCTCCTAGAAAGCCTAGCCCCGAAACCTTAAACTGAGAAGAAAAGAGGCGTCCTATGTTTTGTACAAAAACTTAAGCTGTCAGTGGCATGGCGGACGAAAGCTTAGAGGTCTGCTTGGGCGTTCCCAGTGAGCGCGAGCCAATCCGAGCTATCAAGGCAACAGATGCAGATGCTCGTCCTTATAGCTTCAAGGGTGAAGGGTTTACGGGTTTAAGGGTTTAGCGTTTAGGGTAAGCAGGATAAGGTTTAGGGCTTATTCTGCGTGAAAGGACTTCGAGCTGCTTTGGGTTCGAGATTCTGGCGCTTGGGGTTTAAGATGGTTTAAGCCTGAGGGCTTAGGACTACATTTTGGGATTCTTGGTCTGGGCTCATACAACTGTACATCTTTGGGTAAGGGCTTAGGCTTGCCGCGTACTTTGTTTTTGCTCCGTGCTGGAGTAATTAAACACATTCTATCACCGTCATAGTGGTCGAGTGGGGTATACATTATCCTCGTATCCCTTCTGAATGCCAGCAGCTAGGCTAAACCTTCACGACTGAAACCTCAAGCTCCAACCAGAGCCTACAATGTATTTCCTCTTCGTGTAGCATATTCAAATCCTTGTTACCACGAAACCACCTCAAATCCAAAGCAGAAACCCTGCAGGATTTGTCACAAGAGCATGCTGCTGTGGAAGATGATTTGAGCCGACTTTCAGACTTCTACTTTGAGACATTGGTCGCCATGAAAGTGACTCACCATGACAAATAGACGGTTTAGAGTCTAGGTCGGGAAGGGTGAGAAATCCCAGGGTGTAACCCTAAACCCTAAACCCTAAACCCTTAGCCTCAAAGTCTTTTGGGCGTATCATTGGGAAGGCCGTTCTGCCCATGCCTATTGCTTCAAGCTCATAGTTGCTTTGTTGACGCTTCATTTTTCAACATGCAGTTTCCATGCTAAGTTACCTTTTTGCGAACATTTTTGTTTGCGTGCGGAAAATCTGTTTACCCTGGATGGTGTAAGCTGTTGAGATTAAGGTTGATTTTGGTTGGGGGTTTACAGTTACATAAAGGAGCAGCCCGGACAGAGCTGTGTGTCTCAATGAATTAGGGGTTCCTCCTTTGGAGGTCCTTACAATCAAGGTTCTAGTGTTTTGGGTATTTAAGGAAGACCCCCCCCACCCCCGTCACTTTTGCAAACATCCACTGCCAACCTCGCTGAGAGCGTATGAAGGAAGATAACCTTAAACCCTACCTGGACCCCCAAAGTATGTAAAATAATGGCCCTTATGGCTTTTATTATGGGTTTAGGGCTATTATTTTACATACTTTTGGGGTTTAGGTACACCTTAAACCGCGTTGCGGAACCTGGGCTTGTGAGATGCACTCCCTGGCCCCCGAAATTTGGA